TTCACAAAGAATTCAAACACAATGTGTAAAAAAAAAAAAGAATGAACTTTTTAAATATTCATATCAATTTAAAAATATTAAATTTAATTTATTTATGAGAAAATTTTATCTTCAAAAAAAAATGAATTGTTTCTCAATTGAACAAGATGAACCTTTTATCCTATCAAAAGAAGAAAAACAAAAAAAGTTTTATCATTAAAAATGATCTAGTTCTTGGATATTAGCCAATATTATCAATTAATTAATACAACGATATTTTTGATATCATGCCAATATATATAAATGTTTTACGTCATTTCAAAATATATATACATACGAGGACGGAAAGAGAAAATGCTTCCCCCTATTGGTGGTCTTGATTTGTTCGCATGGCAGGTTCATGCGAAAAAAAAAAAAAGAAAGAAAGAGAGAGAGAGAGAGAAAAAATTTGCACTAGACATTCATAAGAAATCTATATATATATAAAAGAGAGAAAAATCGACGTTTATATTATATACATATATTCGTCATCGTAGTGCCTTGATATTCACTACCATGTATCAACTTCCATCTTATTATTTACATGATATGATCACATCAATTGTAAGTTAATAAAACAAAAAAAAAACAGAAAAAAAAAATTTTTTATTTTTAGAATTTTAATGTTTTATCATTACCAACAAAAATTTATTCAAAAGTTGTTGGTGGTCCTGTACTTCAAACGACTAATTCTCAACATATTATTCAAACAACAACAGATAATAATAATAAAACAACATCACAACGTTATAAAACTGAATTATGTCGTTCATATCATGAAACAGGTTTTTGTAAATATGGTGAAAAATGTCAATTTGCACATGGTTATCATGAAATACGTTCGTTAAATCGGCATCCAAAATATAAAACTGTACTTTGTCGAACATATCATTGTACTGGATATTGTAAGTTAAAATTTAAACAATAGTTTTTTTTTAATATTTTTGTTTTTTGTTCATCAAGGTCCATATGGTCCACGTTGTCATTTTTTACATGATGAATGTTCATTAGATACTTTATCATGTAATACAATTTCACCATCATCATCATTTGGTAGTGATATTCGTTCATCAGTATCATCATCACGATCAATTTCACCAATGGATTCACCAATAATAAATTCCGATGATTTTTTTCTTTCTTCATTTTTACTTAATAAGTAAACAAAAAAACAAAAAAAGCGTTAGACTTAATTTTTGTTTTCTCTATATATTGAACTTATTTTTCTATTTATATATCACGTCTGTTGTATTGTATAGTTTCACATGTGATTTTTGTCTCTTGTTATTAATTATTATTATTATTATTTTTGTTTGTTGATTTTGCTTGGATATATATATATATATATATTAACCGTGTAATACAGATATACGCATCCACATATATTCAGGAAAAAAAAAATGCGCATTGTATGTGCAAGAAAATTTTTGTTTTTTTTTTTTCGTTGTTATACTTTATAAACATACATTGCTGTGTTTGATGATTTTGAAATTTGATTTATTTAAGAAAGATATTAAAAGAAAAATAATCGTATACTTTTTTTGATTTATCGCAAAAAAGAATTATTATTATTATTTTTGTTGATCATTCAAGCAAATAAGTTGATTATTTTATCTAGTGACTTATATATATTACTGATGTTTTTTGTTTTCAATCGATGATTGACTTGTAATATTTTAAAACGAAAAAAATATATGTGAGCTTCTCTCAACAATTGCATGTTATGTCAATGATGTATTCATTTATTTGAAGTGGAAATGAAAATGACTATTTTACATAAGAGAATGATGGATGAATGAACAGAAGAAGAAAAAAAAAATGACATTCTTGTATACTAATTAAAGATTTGATTACACCTTGATATCAAACAAAAAAAAAAAAAGACGATAAAACTAAAAGGAAAAGAATTTTTGTTAGGTTGTTCAAACGGTCGGAATATCACTTGTTAAAAGAAAAGATTAGAATGTTTTAAAATTTATATATATATAGATCCAATTATATACAAATGTTATATAATTGTTGACACATTCATTATAGGTTAAGAGAAGAAAAAACGAAACGAACAAGCTTCCGTTTGTACATTAAATCTTTTCAATGTTAAACACAAAATACAGATCAATAATATAGTTTCACAATGAATTGTTTTGTTGTCTTTTCAACATCTCGAATTTCCTAACAAAACAGCAATACACCCGAGAGAGAGTGGAGAATATCTAATGTGTACATATGTATGCAAAAGAGAAGTGTGTGAAGAAAACATCACATCTTTTTTTTTGAATTTGTCTGCTCTAGTTGTTGGATAAATGATGCTGTTAATAGGTAGAATGAGCTTTTTCGCATCAATGAAAGTGTCATGCTGTGAACACGAAACATCAACTATATACCCCAGCAGTAAAGCAGATCAAATCGAAGATGTATTTCCTGGTGTTGTTTTTTTTTTATATTCTGTTTCCGGCTTAAATTAAATGAACATTTTCTTGAATGAGATTAGTTCTATCTATATATGTAATAAAAAAAAAAAATTTAAAGTTTACACAATCTTATAAACACATATGTTTAATGTTTGAAGAAGAAGAAAAATTTTTTTTTTTTTGTCATTTTAGTTTTATTTGACTTTTCTTTTTCACACTTAGATTTTCTTATTATAAAATGAATTTGTTATGTATCTTGATTATTTGATAGAAGTTTTTCATTAAGTTCAAGAATATTTTTAATTTGACGCATATATGAAGAAGATTTTAAACGTGCATAAAATTCATGAATAAACATAATTTGTAATGGATTATAAATTGTACCTGGTCGTGTTTTTCGTACATTCGAAATTGCATTACATACTCGACAATAATTTTTTAATAAAAATGGATAATGACAAAAACGTTCTATTAAATTTTGTTTTGTTTCTTGTTCATTAATATTTTTCATAATATATTCATAAACAAGTTCTAAACAAACAATTGTCATACCAGTTCTTCCCATACCACCCATACAATGTACAAGTATATGATTATGATCGAAATTATTTGCATTTATTATAATACTATATATAAATTGTATATAATCACTAATTGATTTTGGTATAAAACGATCACGTATTGGATATTTAATATGTTGTATATTAGCTCGTTTAATATGCATTGAATATATATCCATATTATAGATATTTTTATTTGTCATATTCATAAATGATAATTCTTTTGGTTCATTTAATGTTATTATTGTATGAACTTGAATTTGTTGTAAATCATTTTCTATATTACGTATATCATGACGAATACGACGACCAGGTAATTTTGACATAAATAAAATTAATTCATTATTATTATTATTTGTTGATTTTAATATATGTTTATCTATATGAAGATGATCATTAGTTTTTGATATTTCACTATTTTGTTGTTCAATTGTCATCATATTACGATAACGATGTATACATAATAAACCATATGTATATGATATAATAATAATAATAATTATAATTAAAAATAATATTGAAAAAAAACAATAATATATAAAATTAAAATAAATTATTATTGATAATGAAAAAAATAAACTTGATATTATTGTTAATGTTAATGATGAAAACATTAATATTAATAAACATATAAATGGAATATAAGATAAACGAAAACGACGTTCAATCCATATAACAGAAAATAAAAATAGAAATATACAATTTAATGGTGGAAATATAATTAATAATTGTAAAGAATTTTTTGAATGTTCATGTTCAATAAGAATAAATGTTAAAATCATTAAAATAATTGAACAAATAAAATATATAAACGCAAACATTAATGTTGGAGATCGAATAAGAAGCATTTTGTTTTTTTTTTAATATTGATCTAATATAATAAATAAATAATTTTTGTTTTTATTCATCGATTTCTCAATCTCGACTAAGAATTTTTTTTTCTAATACTCATAAATTAGAAAAATACATTCAAAGAAAGAATAAATATTACTTTTTTTGAAAAATAATATCGTGACTATTAATGGTCTGAAATATGTTTATCAATAATGAGAATCTTAACAAGAGATAGACATACTAGAAAAATTTCTAACTTATTATTTCAATGAAATTACAAAACAAACTTTCTATTAAGGTTATACAGGACTATGTATATTCAATAAAAAATATTGTTGTTTTGTTTTTTTCTCTTTCATCAACAACTATATCATCATTATCAATTATCTTATCGACTTCTAATTTGTCTTTCTACTGAGAATGGATATGAATTTTACTTGTATGCATTGGATCGTTTTTTCTATGAATTATGTTTATGCAAAATAAATCTTTATTCGCTTTTTTTTAAAAATTTTCTTTGATTCAGAGAAGTTTAGATAATGTATCAAAGATTCTATTGTAAAATTGATAAAATCTAATTATAGAATCTACTAATATGAAAAAGATTATTTGTCTTGATAATAATAATAATATTGGCTGATTTTTACTAAGCAATTATCAGTTATTGAAACATGACAACAACGGATATTACTATATGGATTTTTCTCAAGCAATTTTAATTTCTTTTTTTTATTATTTAATTTCCTATTTTAAGTAACTAATGTAAATGATTATCTCTCATATAATTTATTGCTATATATATATATATATATTTTAACTATATGTCCAGATAATTACAGAATATTATCACTAGATCATAATTGATTATATTCTTTATCTCAAAATATATTTCTATCTAATAATAATTGATGCTTAATTAAAAACAAGCAAAGAAAAGAAGTAGATATGAAGCACAAATAGTTTATATTTACCAATCTATTACGAAGAGATGTTTCTTATTTTTATATGTTGAGTAAAAAATGCATCTGGCAATAATAGAAAAAAAAAAGAAGCATAGATGATTCATTCATTGTTATGTTAATATGTGTGTCATGTCATTTTTCTTTTTTTTTTTTAATATGCGTTGTTTTTATTTTGAAGAACGATTGACAAAAACAAAAAAAAAAAAGATATCATGTTAACAAAGATTATTGTTAAGAAATTGAACAAACATTGATGTAACATTTGTATTATCTTTTGATGGTGGATGAGTTTTAATAAATTTAAGATATTGTTGACGAATTCGACGTAAATCAGATACTGAATGATTTTGATTCCAATTGATCTAGAAAAATTTTCATTTATATTTATTTATCTATGTATAAAATAAAAATGAATTACTTTTTCTGTTGTACCAGGTATTGAAAATTGTTGACCAAGTACAGCCATTTTACTTTGTTGTACAATTGACTTAAAAACAAAAAAAAAACGCAAGATCAAAAACATAAATAGTTAAAAATTCTATTGTCATCATACATCAATAACATCTTGAGTAACACGATCAACATCATGTAAAAAATTTGTATCCGATATTGGTAACTATTAAAAAAAAATTATTTTGTTCATGATAGAAAATTTTAAAATTTAACTTACATTAACTGTTGATTTATTTGGTGGTGGTGGTCGTTTATTAGCTAAATAATCAACTATTTGTTCTAATGGTAATTCATCATTAGGTGTTAATTCAAATAATGGTGCATCCCAACGATTACGATTTTCAGGTGGTTCATAACGTTGTACTAATGCATCAAAACTAATTTATTTAAAAAAAATATATAAAATTAAAGAAAATTTTCTTTTTTCTAAATTTTACATTGATTCATCATATCTTTGATTTGCCATATTCCATTCACGAGCAAGATGAATAGGTGTATTACAATAAATCTTATTTGAAAAAACAAAACAAATTTGAAATAATAATAAGAAAATTTTAATTTACTGTGCATTGAACTGTTTGATAAAGTTTTGTAATACAATAGAGTTCATAACGATAACCTAAAAATATTTTCATAAAGTTAATTGATACAAAGCTCATATTACCTTTTATGTAATTCAATGCATCAAGTATAATTAAATCAGTTTTTGTAACTAATCTAAAAATCAAAACAAAATAATGACATATTTTGATAACATTATCATATGAGTTTTTTTTTCTTCTAACCGTTGTGTTTCAGCTTTAAGATCACTTCGAGCTTGTTTTTCAAGTGTATTGTCTAGAAAATATTAATATATATACATATATTAATGAAAAATTAATTAATAAAAACCTATATAAACTGTATTTCTATCAAGATTATTATCTGTAATTATTTGAACAGGCATTGATTTTGTTTTAAAATAATCATATAATGCTTGTGCTCGTGTTGATTTACCCGAACATGGACCACCTGTTATAACAATGAGTGGCATCAATTGTTTTATTTATTTTATATATATATATACAATAACTATAAAGATTTTAATAATATGATAGAATATATTTTAATATGAAAAAAAAAAAAGAAAAACACAAACTAAATCTAAGTTCAACATGTATTTTATATCTTGACTTTGCACACATATATAGATGAACAAAAAAAAAAAACTAGATAACTGAACATCTTTAAAAAAAACACATTTTTTTTTTAAGTATCAAACAAAAAGACTAATAGTTGATTATAGATGTAAATAAAATAAAAAAAAATACATTTTGAATATCAGACCACAAATATCGAAATTTTAATCATATGATGGTTGTACAAGCATAAAATTATCAGTATAACGTGTTAAGATTTTTAAATTCTCTTGTTCTTCTTCATCAATACGTTCATTATTAACAAATTGTTGACGATGATGTGCATCATACATATATTCAAAAAATAATTCATCACCTTGAAATATAACTTCTTTTGCATATATACCAATACGATAGTCACCTTAATATAATAAAAAATTATATATATGAAATTTTTAGAAATAGAATCATATTTACCATTGACTAATTTTATTTTTGGAACACAATTTGGTTTTGATGAATGATTTGCAAAACTAAATTAAGGACATGTTGTTTTTTTTTTGAGAATTCAATAAAAATTTCTAACCGAAGTTTATTGCCAAATTGTCGAGCATCAATACAATGTTGCATATCAAGATTAAATAAATAAGAACATGCTCGTTTATCATAAAGACGACCTCGTCGATCGGCTTCTTCTTCAGTTATAATTTCACCAGTATATTCTGATATTAAATCACCAGGATATGCAATTGATGAACCAAGAAAAGCTCCATAACCAGCAACTAGACACAAAAAAAAACAAATGAACATATTTTTAATAGTCAATAAAGTTTTTCAAATCTCGAAAGATTATATTTCTTTGTTTTTTTTTGATCTATACTATAAAAATAAGAATTACTATCAGATTCAGCAATAAGAATTTGTTTATGAATTTTTCGTTGTAATGCAATATTTGCACATGTTATCATAGGTGATGTTTGTGATGTATTTAAATTTAATGATGTTCTTGAATTTGTACGTCTTCGATCATTCGATGTTATTTTATATAATGATTCATTAATACGACATGATCGAAGACTATGTGATCGTGTTGGTATATTACTAGTTGTACGTGTTCGACTATTTCGTACAGATGTTGTTGATAAAATTTTTTCATCTTCTCTTGTCATTGATATTTCAATTTCTCTAAAAAATTATAATATAAAATAGATAAACTAGGTGAATATCACTAATCAAGTTTTAAAAAATAGAATATCAGTCAAAACGCGTAACATGTGACCTCGATGGTCAAGAATTCAAAATCATCATTTTTTTAAAATCCATTCTCAGCATCTTGTAGCATATGATATAAAGTGTAGGGAAACATATTTAACGTCTGTATAGTTTCATCATAGAAATAAAAATAGTATCTCGTATTTACACAATTATACATATAGCGAACGTAAAACTTGTTAAGGCGCCCCCCCCTCAGAAACCAACTTTGTTATTTTTCATCCGATTTCAACCAAAATTTCAGAGAATGTTAGTCTTGGCTAGAATAGATTATGGTTAAAATATCTCCCGAAATCTACGAGCCATTCACGAATTATAGTCAATTCATTGATCAAAGATGCCCTTTACGCGGGCAAGGTTTTCAATATGAGGATTCGAGCTAAGTATATCAGGATGGTTTTTAAATTGTAGAGTACACTTAGGGCTAGATCCTAATAGAGCCAAATTTTTTAATTTCCCTTTGTTTGTTTTTTAAAAAAACTTTTCCCAAAAATTCTTAAATTCGTGGCTAAAAAACGCTAATTAAAATCAAAGATCTAAGTTTTTTATTTAAACCAAGGAGAAATTCCAAAAATCGGGCTCTATTAAGATCTAGCCCCGAGTGTCTGCTCTATAACAAAAAAGCATTACCACTTTTATATTGAGTAAGGTTTACTCGAAAAAATGGATTTTGAGAAAAAACGGAAAATAAGTTTTTAAAAACCTTATTTTTTTCAATATGAAGGTTCAGAAAATCGTATATAATCGTCATCGCGTTACGTTAGTTAAACCGACCTCTCTTCAAAATAAGGAGCCTGTTTGAAGAATTCTTTTTTCCGTTGGATACCTCAAACTGTCTGCTACAAAACATCTATGGGAAGTTTATTTTAATGTAGCACACATTCGTAGCAAAATACGAAACAAATAGATCATCCTCAACTTTTTGTCCCTTTTTCGTCACCTATTTTTGATAATCTAATTACTGAGAAAAGTTAATAATACTGTGGCCAAAACGTCATCGCGTTACGCTTGAGAAAGCTGATATATGTATTATAAGATATGATAATAAGACTTTATTTTTTTCGTACACTTCTCGTAAGATGTCTAGACTTTCGAAATATTAACTTACGTATTAGTTGAAGGATAAAATTGATTAAAAAATAATGATGCACCACAATTATGACATAAATCTGGATCACATTCTCGACCTTCTGCACTACATAAACAATTATTAAATAAACATGTTCCTTTACAAGCACAACCAGGAAATCGACGTGGACAATCAATAGAACAATTACAAAATTTTTCACAAAATGTTCCCATTTTAATACAATAACATTGAGAATTTTCTATTGTACATGGTCCATCATGTAAACATGGATGATAAGATGGTTTTAATGTTGTTGCTGTTGTAGTTTTTCCATTATTATTATTATTATTATTATTATTATTACTATGAGTTCGATTAAAATTTTTTTTAACATAATGAAGAAATGTTCGTGTTGTACCTTCAGGCATACGTTTTCGATATGGTTGACGTATTAAAAATGGTAAATCTTTTGTTAATGATATACGTTCAAAAAAATATTTTGAATCATTTATAAGTTGTTGATATAAATCATAACATGTTCGTTGATTATTATCAAATAATTGATTTAATAAACATAAATCACCATCAAAAATAAAATAAAATAAACGAAATAAATTTCTATCATTTAATGTCCATATATTTTCAAATGAATATTGTTGAATTGTTTGACATATATAATTATTTTCAATTCTTGTTAAACATTGTAATGAATATTTTCGTTGTGTTTCATTTATATTTAAAAGAAATTTATTTGATGATGTTGGTGATGATGATGATGATTTACGTTGACGTTTTATATGATTTTCTATTTCATCAGATGTTTCATTTGTATATGATAATGGTGATAATGATCGTTTATGATGATGTTCACGTTGATATTTATAACATGTAGAACTACATGGTTCGGATTGATTATTACGTGAGATAAAAATTTGTTTTGGTAATGGTAAATATGATGGACCTTCTTTATGTAATAAACAACTATAAGCAAAAAAAAAACAAACAAATTGGTCGAGAAGATATAAGTCTTTAGTTCATTTTTAGTCTCGCCAGGCAATTATGAATTCAATAGTCAGGAAACGCTTACGTATAATAAGTAACTATTTCTTTTCTAGATAACAGTGACGTAGGGCCATTGGGCAATTGCTCACAGATATTTTTGAAATCATCAGGGTTGCCCTTGGCTGCCCATAACTCAAAATAGTTTAGCTGATGAATTGCCCATGACTCAAAAATTCTTGGCTACGCCACTGCTAGATAATATACTCGATTATAATGAACATCTTACTTATAACTATAACAACGTGGACAAAATCGAGAACACCAACGTTTAATAATAAATTCATCAATATCATCATTTTCTGAATCATATTTTTTAATATTTTTATCATTTAAAGAACAATCATTTTGATTGACTAATGCCATAAGTTTTGTTCTTGGTGTTGAATCACGATGATAATCTATAAAATTAGATCGATATTGATTTTTATTTATGTTTTTTTTTTTCTTTAATTTTCTTACGAAGTATTTCATCGATTATTTCTTCACTTGAATATTCATTACATAATTTATTTTTTCGAAGTGATTGAAATAAATTTTCTAAAGATTGTTCATCAAGTTTTTTTTCTAATTTAAAACAAAAAAAAAAAGAAAGAAGAAATGAATGAATAGAAAAATAAAATTATACTTCTTATTAATTTTTGTTGTTTAGATGGTTCAATTGATATTGAATTAATTAAACGTTGATCTTCAGCATCAAATTTATCTCCTAAATATGGTATACCAATAAGATGACCACGTGTAGCAACATTTTTTGTTGTTGGTACATATGATATTAATTCTCGTACAATAGGAAGTGTTGGCATAACAGTTGGAATTGTTGAATTTTTTTGTGCATTTTTATTCGTACCATCGGCTACAATAACTGAAACAGTTTTATTATCATCATCTATATCTATATTTGATTCAATTGTAGATATAGAAATAGGTATAGTTATTGAACGTGGTGGACATGGTTGTGCTACATGCCGAAGAACATGACTGAAAAAGAATATAATAATATAAATTCATTAGTAATATTAGTATTATAATATTCATGAAAGATATATGACATTGATTTGTCTAGGCAACTAACCGAGCTGTGTTTTGTGCGATTTTATGTACTTGACGATAGAGTGTTGTATATTCATGTTCGACAAGTTGTCGAAGAGCATCGTCTTTCTTTAAATAAATCAAAATTTTATTAGAAAAGAATTTCGTAAAAGAAAAAAACAAAAAGAAAAAATTCTTATTACATCAGTTGATGCTTGTTGTTCAGATAGATCGTTACTTCGTCTTGATTCACGCATATAGTTTCACAACGATCTGAAATTTATAAAATATTAAACAATTTCTTTTCTATCATATCGAAAAAAAAAATTCCCCATTCAAATACGAAATCAACCAATAAGAAAAGAATATAAACACATTGGCTTATGTATGAATCAATTAAATACAAAATATTATTCCAATTGGTAGATGTTGGATTAATTTACAAAATTTTTAACTTTAATTTTGAGAGTCTAATTTGTCTTAGCAAATTTCGATACAAATAAAGAAAGGATCTTTAAGCTTTTTTTGCAATAATAGTTTTTTTTATTGGTTTTTGAATTTGTTTAGTTAGGTCCCAACCAAAAAAACAATGAAGGACTTTTTAGCTTATGTATTCCTTGTGGTAGAATAATAAATGTCTTCTTTCCGAATTCGATGCTCAACAATGGTAGACCTTCACCATTGAAAAAAGTCTAACAAGTGTGTGAGCTTAATCGTCTAAGAAGAGAGAACATTGTGACATATTTTAGTTGATGTGAGCCGAGTTTTTCATGCTGTTCTAATGTTTCATTAAAAAAGTTTTCTAATTCTGCTTGACTAAGCAAATATCGTTATTAGCTGCCAGAAGCGAAGAAAAATATTGATTTTGGTACAAGAAATGTTGTGATACACTGCTCAAATCTATCAACTGAGGCTACATTGACACATGAAGTGTGAATCAAGAGTAGACTTTCACTTGGACAAGTCTTATGATCCCACTGCCTATATTTATTGAGCACGATTTATGACAGTGTGTCATTTGTCAGATACAAGAAACTTATTTCGTAGGTTTTTTATCTGCTAAAAAACGAAATTCGCCTGTGACATATATATTAACACAAAAAAAAGTCAAGATGAATCGAATGCAATTTTGTTTGATTCTTATTTGTAATTATAATTTTTCATCACTATTATATCGAACATACGATTATTCGAGATATTTTATTAAAATTTTTGAAGAATTATTTTTATAATAGAAGAAGTACAATTGTGATTGATTCGACATTATGATATTGATGCCACTGATTTAAAAGAGAATTCTCATTTTTCTTCAGCCACTGGAAACTAATGGATCATCTATCAATGAATATCTTTTACGACGGAACTACAAATAAAATTTCAAGTTTCAGTAGTAAAAACACCCATTTACTAAACGTATTTCATTTTTTGCTACGTTTTTTTTACATAATTCTTTTTGTATTAGGAACAATACTTCTACTAAGAAAAAATTTAATTACTTTCTCTACATACAAATATAAAAACCTATCAGATTATTTAAAATTATTTAAAAAAAAAAAAATTTTTGCAACTCCGAAAAAGCTGTTCGAATTAGAGCTTTAACTGTCTTTCTTTGTTATTTTCGTCATTTTTGCACTTTTAGCAAAAATAAACTTCTTTTATTTTTTCATTACAAATATTTCTCGATCAGTAGCATTTCTTTCATGCCTTATCATTACAAGATGGATTATTCATGAATTTAAATAAGATTGATAAAATTTTAGAAAGTATAATAGTTCTATATGTAGACTTCCTTTACTGCAAAATCAATAGCAGTAAGTAATCTGAAAACAAAAGAAAAATATACGCATGCATTTTTTTCTTTACATGTTTTTTGTATTTTGATTTAACACAAAAATATTGATGGTTATGATTCGAAAGATATGCATCAATATCCAATATTATCGAAGCAAATATTTTCATCGTTATTCTTTTCCTACTGCACTTCTTGCATACAAAGTGACAGTTTTCTGCTATATCATTCAATGTTTTAATCGTCTGCGTAGGCTTTTATGTCAGTATCAATCAATCGCAATTTTGATTTTTGTTTTTTCCTTCTATTCAGTTTGCTATATATATATCTATTCGTTTTATATTTAATAGATGCTCATTATGCTTGTTACCTATCCGTGTCTCGCATCAATTATTCTTGTTTTCATATAACTATCCTTACCTATCAATCGTGTTGTATTTTCATCGTATTTTAGGTTAATCCATTATCGTTATAATCGAGAAGCCTCTTAACTGTTCATTACACAAGAATTTGTTCTATTTTTTACGAAAAAAATTTTAGAATTCAATATACGTGCATTGAATGAAAAAATGGGCCATTATATTACATTGTTCGGCATATTTCTTTTAGTAATATCTTCGTGGACTGCTGCACACCTATCAAAAAGATCTTCTCCATCTGTATTGTATGTTTGGTCAGGACAAGAACGCTCCGTACCGAATGCTTCTGATTTCGTTGCTGTAATCGACTTTGATGGAAGATCTCCTACCTATGGACATATTTTGAAAACAGTTTCACTTGTTTCAGACGTTGCCAATGGCATTGGACAAGTAGGAAATGAGCCACATCATTCAGCTATCTCTACTAATGGTCGCTATTATATGACCGGTGGTCTTCTCAGTTTTCTTTCTGGAAATAAAGAAGTATTTGTCTGGAAGATTCCGAAAAATCCTACTAAAGGTCCGGAGTTTCTATATGCACTGGATGTGCCAGGTGCTTGTACAGATGAATTTTTGCCTATCGGTGGCTCTGAATTTCTTTTGAGCATGATGTGTAATGAACAAGCTGTCAGTCCAGGCAATATAGTGTATATCAATGCTGAGACTCGTATGACGAAATCAATCCTCAAAAATATTTCAGCATTTGTCGATTTTAATCCTCATGGATTTGGTCGACTTGCTAATGGTTCAATCTTCGTAGGAGACTATATTGAACCAATTACATTAGTTGGCTCTAATTCATCCCAGATTCTATTTCGAAATACGGCTCGACATATTCTTCCCGATGGAACATTAGAACGTATATTTCAATTCCAATTTCCTACGACGCCGGGATCATCAAATGGAATCGGATACGGAATCGGATTTATGGAACTTAAAGCTATTCCTGGTGATCCATTTGGACGTTCATATGCCTGTGGTACTAGTGTGAACAATATATATTTAATTGGTCCAGGTATGCCTGAGCCTATTTTAGCTATTGATCTCTCTCAAGTAAATGGATATCAAAAGCGAGCCAGTGCTGGCCTATTATCCTTTTTTTCAAATGGTCAGCGTGTATTGATGACATTTCAACTGCGATATGTTATTTTAGCCAATATTACAAGACCAGAACAACCGAACATTCTTCGTGTATTCGATTTTTGTACTGATCCAACGCTTAAACATGTGACAATTGGTATTCCTGATTCATTCGAAAAAACTACTTTTGCCAAATTCTGTGCTCAAAATAATAATATCACTGGTTCACACGCTATTATTCAACCGAAAGATGAGAATCGATTCGTTGTGGTGAATTATTTTCTCAAATTCGGCTTGGCTCAATTTTCTGGCACACGAACTGTGCACGCATTTAAACTCAATAAGGATTTGACCGATTTCGAATATGATCATAAATTTAATCCTAATTTTCAATTGGGTCATTCACCCAAAAAACAACGTCTAACATTCCATTCATTACAAGCATATCCACATCATGTTCAATATTTGAAATTAGAAAAATAGAAATATTCATTACCACAATTTAAAATATGGACAAACAGACATAAACTTTTATTCTATATACTGAAAATGATTTACTCGATCAATCATATCGAGAGAAATCAACAGATATAACCTAGACATATTTTTGTAATGTATAAGAATTTTACGGTCTATAAGAAAAAATGCTAATATTGTTTTTTCTTTTGTGTTGCGTTAAGTACAACAAGGTTTTAAAATCATGAAATGTGGAATGTCAATTGTTTAATCGTTGTCATTGAACTGGCATTTGTATTTTTCTTAATTGGAGATTTCGTAGATATCACATCTTAAGTAAAAATGAAAAGAATAGACGGTGGAGAAAGTGTAGATAGCCATGAATAGTAGATATTCCGTTTTTGCTGGACTCGCGAGTATCGTTGCAATGAGATGGAAGGAGTATGAATGGTTGTAATTTATTGAACACCGATTGATGTCAGAGGTGGTTTGTTTGTTGACTTTGGACTAAAAGAGTATCATCGACGTGAGAAGTGCTATTCATCTTTTTATCATGGTCTTCCATAAAATCATGGAAATCTGGGTGTTTGTAGACATCTATGTATTGTATTATTTTAATCGAATAAGTAGTCAGTGTGCTGACGAATTTATTAAAACTGTTTATATCTCAGTTTTTGTCTACAACTGTCTTTATAAAGTATGTTGTTGTTCTTTCATAATACCGACTGACAAAAGACCAGAGTACTTTGACTTCCGATGTCAGCAGAATGGTTCGTTCTGGGCGTCGATTAGTCACTGTTTTTTCCAACTTTTCTTCTTTCTGAAATCGTTCCAATATTTCTTCAGCACTGTGATCCACTTTACCTGAAATTCGCTTTCAATGTCAAAATATAAGAAATAGAAAATGATCCGATATGCATCCAATCATCATTATCACTTGACAAACGAGTATTGAACACGAATATTAAGAAAAGGATACATTCTAAGACTATGCTTTTCTTTCTCGATGGAATCTCTCCGTTTTCAAAATCAAGACAGAAATGAAATAATGCGCTGTGGATCCTGCTCATAAATCAGTCTTCTGTTTATCACTCTTAACTTTATTTATCCATTCATATCAGAGAAATTTAGGTGTTTAAGGAAACATGTGATCCAGTTCACCAAGATTTTGTCATCTATTTTATCTAATATAAATACATTGATGTCGATGTATATTTTCATATTTTGAATGACAATAAAAGCTATGTACTGCTGATTATTCAGACATGCGGTACGAAGAAGATTGTGTTGTTCCTATGAATTATTAATGTTCATGGATGATGTGGAAATATATTTATAGAAGTTTTATCGATAATAGTTTTCGATAGACTCACAGTTTGCGTATATTTTTCTTTTGTTTTAAATAATAGTTTCTCATCAAAATAGATGCTGTAGCAATAGTTTTGAAAATAATTTTCTATTTGAATGTTTGTTTGAAATGGAAAACAGCGTCTTTTAGTCTGTTCAATGTTTCTTTCAGCTTATCAAGACAGTCTGGAAGCTGATTTTGTAATACTAACGAGTCGAAAATAGCTGATGCTAATCACATAGAATGAAGCGCTCCTACCAATCTACTTATATGAACATGAGCTTTCGAATAGGTAGAAGAAATCCTCAAACTCATATGATGCTTTAATCATATCTGCATAGAAATCTCAAACTACATTGAGAATTTTTGGAGCTTCTTTCGAGTAAGAATACATCAACTTGAACTCATCATCGCTCTTTAAATCATAGTTGTTAAAGCAATAGATTATGAAAAGAATATGCGGCATATTCGGAACGCCAAGATTAAGTTGTTTGATCTTATTACAGCAAAGAGAAAGTGAGATAAAAGACTATCAACTTCACCGTCGACTTTCATTGAGTTAAAAATTTGAGCAAGGTGAGTTGCAACTGCAATATTCAACACAGGATTCTAAATAGTCATGCTGGCACCTTTTGCTTGTCGACAAATAATGGATGATGTATATTATGCATACCAAACGACTGTAACAGAGTCAAGGCTTCATCCTGCATTTGAAATAGACGTGGGTAAGTATTTTTTTAACTTTGATAAAAGTAATTCTACAGTTGCGCTCAATAGTGAGACAAGCTTCTTTAATTTTTTCCACCTCTAATGACTTGTTTGCACCGGGATATTTAATAAGGCTTGTCTAAAAAGCGACGCTAGTTGGCTAAACCGTATTGCTAACAGCTTGAGGGTGTGTGTGGGTGTGGATATAAAGGATATCCTGTACCTTCACACCCACCCACACCCATCGGCACAATTGAAAAAACACCAAAACCTCAACAGAACAGTAAATACTTTTACATCATTAAGTTTTGTAAGTTTACCTTCTATCTTCAACCATATGTTATAAATCATTCTTTCTAGAAAATACTTTGACCATTCAAGATGACGATGTTTTGTTAACTAATTTCAAATTTAAATTTTTACGAATTTTGATTTAAAATAGGTTCAAACTTTTCAAATATGAAAATTATAATTTATTTTAAATTTAAATTTTGAAAATTTATTTGGACTCAGCTTAAATAAATATAAATTCAATTTACATCCATTCAATTGAATTTAAATCACATATGAGTTAATGTAAATGGATTTAAATCGCATATAAATGAATTTAAATTGAATTTTATTTAGTTTAAATTAAATTCATATTGATTTAAGCTGCGCCTAAATAAACTTTCAAGATTTATATTTAAAATAAATTTTACTTTTTAAAATTTAGATTTAAAAGAAGCTTAAACCTTCATCTGTGAAAAATTTATATTTATTGTAAATTTAATTTTCTTAAGATTTATTTTTGGATTTATTAAACTTTCGTAAATGTAAATTGATCACTATTTACTATCAACAACATCAACTTCTCGTCGCAATGCTCGTCTTGCAAAATGTTCTGCAAAAATAAAAACTCATAGTTAATCTAAGAAATGTTAAATGTCTTATTTTTTTTCTCTTGTCTACCTTTTCTTTCTGTTCCTTTACCTTTACTTTTTATTGCTTAGCCTTTTTTGTAATCAATGTTATCATATACTTATTTTTTTTGTCGGTGATATTATGTAATTAATTTTTTTGTCAATGATATCCTGCGCCTAACATTTTTTTGTCCATAGAGCCATATCAGAGCTGCCAACAGGCCACTTTTTTCCAGCCTGATCAGGTCAAAATTCAAACGTCAGCCTACAGCCTGGGCCTGGCCTGCATGCAGGCCAAACCAGGCCGCATAGTGATTTTGATCTTTCAGATTAGTCAATTGATAATTTGTCAATAACCCAAGTAAGCACAAGACGGACTGAATGATTCGTCATTTTTCTAGTCATGTCCACCTGTCTTCTAAGCCTTTGTCTCAATTTTGACTAGGACATGACTAGTCTAGGAGTTTTTGGGCGTCTTGAAGCCCTGTCTAAATTACATGATTGGCGGGCGACATTATACATGTCTCGTCAAGTTTTTTTTTTGAGAAAGACTCATACAGGACTGGGTTGAAGTCGGTTGATACAGAACATTATTATTCAATATGCAGACTAGTCCTAGACGAGGACTTTTTGAAACAAAGACCAGTCAGGACAGATGACAGGGATGCCCGTCCGAAAACGATTTAAACTTGAAAAGTCATGATGTCAAGAACAGTATAGGACGATTTGTAGCCCTAATTAGTGGACATGTCCAGACTAATTTAAGTGGAAATATATAAGGATAAAATTAGATTCGAATATGCATACAATGTATCACTTATCCATCGTTTAGACTACTGAGCCATATGATCAAGAGATCAACTTCCGCATGTTCATAATCATTCTAGGATGCTATTTAATACAATTCTATTCAAAGTTTTTTTCATATTCACATATGAATAAAAAAAAGTATCTTATACAGAATACGAGATCATTCAGACAACATTAAACAAAGAAAATTTTAAAAAACTTCATATTGTTGGGAAGACTATCTTTTGATTATTATCAACTAGGAATAATTAGTTGCGTACAAAATATTAATTTTAAATGCAAAAATAAAAAACTATTTATATTCAAAGAAAACTAGATTTTTTCATATCATGATTTAGTTTAATGTGAAATCTAAATGACCCTCTCTCCCATCTTCAACTAACAATTAAATTAACTGTGATTCATTTAAATTTATATTCTTAAAGTTAAAATTATTAGAATTTATATTTAAAATAAAAATAATATAAAA